CTGAAGAAAATAATAAAATTCATCTGTTTATCTGGTGACACATATTCACTCACATGCTAAATTTATGTTTTCCAGCTTTTATTTCCAGGCTCAACTGTGCACTAGCAACTGTTATTTTAAAGCTTTCTTCATATTACAAAATTCTGTAGATAGTTTATGTAACAATTAAGAGTTTTATCAGGTGGTATTGCATTTGGGTACAAGCTACAGAAAACTGGTTAAAGAGTAGCTTAGCTTATTAGGAGCTTATTTGTTTAATTTAGAAAAGCTTAGAGTAAGATGTATAAGAAAAGGCTGGGCTGGCAGCGACAGAATGCCATCAAGGTCTTGGGCTCCTCCTTTTTCTGCTTGATCATCCTTAGCCTAGGGTGTTCATTTTTGCGTTTGTGAAATGTTCCTATATCTTCAGGCATCATGTCTGCAACTTTGCAAGCAAGGAAGGAGAAGGGCAAGTGGAAAAGGGGATTTCTCTTTTTAATTCATGAAGTGGAGCCTTCCCAAGAAACATCTGCCTTACATCTCATTGGCCAGAAATGGTAAGCTACAGAGGCATTTGGGTAAACAAATTTTTGTACACCTTTGCTCTCCTAAACAAAACAGACTTTTGTTATTAAATAAGGGATGTTGGTTACTGGCCAACTGGCAATAGTCTGCCATGGCTTCTAAATGTACTTAAATAAAAACAAACATGAGCTACAGGTACCTCCCACCCATGGATAAATCACACAGATGAAGGCACTGACTATAGTCTACAATTTACTCCTATATTTGCTCACCAGATTTTTTTAATACTAATTGTGAGGTGCGCTTGGTTTCAGAAAAGTTGAAGCACAGGGAGAGTGTGCAGGAAATGAGAGGCATGTTATTGTTATTTGGACTCTGGGATCATGCCCAGCACATGTAGTGCCCTGGCAGCTTCCTGTTTCCACACAGGGAGCCTTTCTGTTACCTGGGGCCCACCCAGCAGGCTATGTTCTCCTCGTCCCTGCCCCTCAGCTGGTCTGTCCCCTGCCACGCTCCATGGTTGAAGGCCACAACCAGCTCTGCAGATCTTAAAAGCAGTCGGTGGTGGTATGACTCATCTTCCTTCCTGATGCTAATATTACAAGCATCCACTGGAAAACTTGCTTCCTTTGGTCAAATTTTTCCCACCTTGTGGATTTGGGTGATTTGCTGTACTACTGACTAATTGTCTGTGGTCTTAGTCTCCCCTCCCTCCATTACTTTTTTTCATGCTTAATCTTTCATGTTTGTGTAAAGAATCATGGAGACCAACAGTGGACAAAATGCACTGGGTTGCGCTTTGTGTTCCCATGGGGAAACTTGTTTAATATAAAACACAGCATCTCTGGCTGTTCTCTGTGGGAAGTTCAGGTGCTGTGTCTGTCTGACCCTTTCTTAAAATATATTTCTTCCAGTTAATCTTTCGAGTATTACTCCTTCCTTCTTTTCTTTCTTTCTTTCTTTGTATTGGGATTTGAACTCAGAGTCTTGCAGTTGATAGGCACTCTACCACTTGAGCCACGCCCCCAGCCCTTTTTTCTTTAGTTATTTTTCTTATGGGGTCTCCCATTTTTGTCTGGGGTGGTGTCAGACTCCTATCAGTGTGTTCCATGGAGCTGTAATAATAGGCAAAAACCACCACCATTCCTGCTTTGTTTGCTGAGATGGAGTCTCATTAACCTTTGGTCAGGCTGCCCTTGAATTCTGATCCCCGAGATCTCTACCTCCCAAGTAGCTGGGATTGCAGGCATGTGCCATTGTGCCACACCAGACTATTAACAAATTTATAATGTTCGAAAAATTCTACAGTAAGTTCTTGCTTCCACTTTTTTCCTTCACCTAGTTCTTACTCTCTCAGCCTCTTTTGTTAGTTTCTTACATGACCTTCAGGAGTTTTTTTAAACATAAATGTAAATCTATTCTTAGTTTTCTCCATTTTTTCCAAAAAAGAGCCTAGTCTCCACTCCTTTTTTCTTTTCTACCTACTGACATTTTCTTAAGTGTTAACAATATGTAACAGAGTTTCTCTCCCTTTTTTCTTTTTAAGTTGAAGTACTTTCTTTGAAGTACAAACCCAGCCATGCCTCCTTCTTTTAATATAGAGATATTATTATTTACATTTTACTCCTGACAGTACTGTCAGTCATCACTATTGTCAGTGGTGACTCATCCTTTGCTTTCAGAGCATTGTTCATATTAATAATGTATTTGAATTTTAGTATTCCAATTAACTTTTACACAGAGTTTTAGGATATTAACCATAAAGAGGGAGGGATGTTGAAAAATGGACACTTTCAGACTCTACTAACGATAGGGTCCATTGGTGTGGCCTTGTTGAGAATAGGGTAGCACAGGACCATCAGAAGCCTGAAAAATGTCTCTGCTGTTTAACACTTGGGATTGATTCATAGGGCTTGACCTAAAGTATTATTGGAAGATACAGTCCAAGATTTATGAATAAAGATGTTGCTATAGTCTAAATGTTACATCCTTCCTTCCCCCCAAATTTATATGTGCTAATCTAACCTGATATGATAGAATTAGGAGGTAGGCTTTGAGAGGTGATTAGGTTATAAGGTAGAGCACTCAGAAATGGGCAGAGCCCAGAGATGTCTCAGAGGCTCCCAGAGTGCGGCCTTGATCCTTCTACCAGGTGAGGATACAACAAAAGGGTTCCATCTATGATCCAGGTAATGAGTGCTGACTAGACACCAATTCTATTGTGCTTTGATCCTGAGATTCCCAGCTTCCAGAATGGTGAGAGATAAATTTCTGTTTTTTTTATAAGCTGCCCAGACTCTGGTGTTTTATTACAGAAACCCAAACAAACTAAGATGCTCACTGTATGATGTTATCTCTAGTGGTAAAAGTTACAAGTATACTAAATATTCAACGGGAGAGTACAGTGAAATACATTATGTGCATGATGGAATTTTCAGCAGATATTAAAATTCATGCTTTTGGAAAATGTTGAATGACTAGGGACAGTGTTCATGATACATTATTGAGTGGGAAGGGCAAGATGCAATTATTTTTACCATGCATGTGATCTTGTGAAAGGAAAGACCACTTGGGCTGTAAGGGATGGCTAGTCTAGCAATAGCGTGTGTGTGGTGGGTGCATAGACATGTATATCTCTGTGTATCTAAGTCTATAGGTCAAGGAGGTGGTTTGATTCTTTATCAGTTTCATTTTTGATTAATGTCAGAAAGATTTGAAATGTTTTAGTTATATAGATTTCTACATATGGACACAAGTCCTCAAAATTTTGACATTTGGTTACCTGGGTTCGTAGGATTGTAGGCCACTGTTTTGTTTTGTTTTTAATTGTTGTGCTGAAGTATGGGTATGTTGTAGCATTTACAAAGGTTCTTACAATGTATCAAATATATCATACTTGAATTCCCTCCTCCACTGCTCTCCCCCAGGCCACTGTGTTATGATTTCTAAACTTTTACAAATGATAACTCATTTTTATAATCAAAAAAGCTGGATCATGAATGATATTGTGGTATGCTAAGAAGTGTTTATGCACTCCTGAGCACATTGGATGCCCAATAAAAAGGGTTTAAAGCAGGAAAATGACAGTGATTGTTTTAACAATGCACACTATCTGTAGGACCTGGATCACGTAGGTAACTACATTGACCTCAGTTTCCTCATCTATAAAACAGCAATAAACTCTAATTCAATGTAGAAATTAATTTAATTTTTAAATTAATTAGAATGGGTGATGCTTTTTTGCAAGTTGAAGTGTCAAAACAATATAGCCACATTAGTGAAATTATGTATCAGCGAAGGGAAAAACTGGCTTTTTCACAAATGAGATAATGCCATCATCTGTTTCTGTTTATAACCACACAGCAGCTCTCTTACGATGTCATTGAGCTTGAAGATGTTCAGTTTTGCTAGCATTTTTTTTCATTCATATAACCACACCATTTTGTTAATCACTCGTGGATTTCAACCCAGTGATCGGAAGCTCTTTTTCTAGCCTCAGAGACGTGTCAATTTGGCTTTCTGGGGGAGTCTAGGGAATGGAAGTGGAGACAATGTGTATGTGAGAGTTTGCTCTTCAAGCATTTTATTTTCTTTGACGAGAGGTCTTTTTGGCCACGGGACCTCTCAATGATTCTTTGACCATTATAAAATTTACTTCACTCCTTAAATCGGTTCTGTATGTGGATCCCCCAAAAACACTTTAAAAAGGCAAGCTTGTTTTGGTACGTTTTACCTGCTGTGTTTAAACCATTGAATATTGTCATCCCATTTAATTAGTTAGTATATACCCTTAAATTAAGGTGGTCAGTAACACTTTGAAGGCCTGCAGAGCATTTGTAGCTTCTCAAGAGCTCACCTGACCCTTAGTGACTGAAGCAGGAAACGTGAAGATCAGGAATGAGAATGGTTAAGAAACAGTTCACAGTAAGATGGTGCTTGTGGTTTACTCTCACCTTAGAAGTGCAGAACATTTTCCTCTTGTGAATTTATGAAAGGATTCTTTCATGATCATGGTTATAACTGTGGAATCTCTATCTGAAAGAGGCTGCTGAGAGGAATAAAAATGTTGCTGCTCTCCAATCAATGGAATGTCGAAATCTCAGATGGGATATACATGGATTTCAAATGGTTTTGGGCAGAGGGACCTTTCATGGCTGTAAATGTCAACTTCTTGCAGGTGGGGGGTGGAATGGGGAGTGGTCATGGCTCACTAAGAACTAAGTGGATCTCTCACTTCACCATGTGTTCCCTCCAGGCAATCCAAGAGGAACCTCAGCCTTCTAGAAGCCTAGGTGCGGATATCACTGTGTCGATCCTTGCTTAGTCCTGTGCTGGATATCCAGCGAGGACACCTATGTAAAACACCTCTTCTTCTTCTCTTTTTTTTTCTTGTATCAATCAGCTCTGATCATGAGAAATCTAATTAAGTTTAATTTGGCAGTGTATACTTACTGCTTCTAATCATCTCTCCTTATTTGTTCATCTTCTCTCTTTAGATAAAGAAGAAGCAGCAGGATGTGGTTAGATTTCTGGAAGCCAACAAGATAGAGTTTGAGGAGGTGGATATCACAATGTCAGAAGAACAGAGGCAATGGATGTATAAAAACATCCCCCCAGAAAAGAAGCCTGCTCAGGGCAATCCCCTGCCCCCTCAGATATTTAATGGTGACCGATACTGTGGAGTAAGTGGCTAGATTATTATCACACATTTCCTCTTGTTGCTTTTAACACATAGTCACCTGGAATGCAGTTGGGATGTTTAGAGTTGGGTTTTTGTTTTGTCTTGTTTTGTTTATTTTGGTAAGACTGAGGGGGACGTTGAACTCAGGTCTTCATGCTTGCAAAGCAAGCGATCTACCACTTGAGCCACTCTTCCAGTTCATTATTGAGATTTTTATAGTGAAGACTTAGACCTCTTCACCAAGTACCTATTCAGGCCAGAGGTCTAACAGAGGGTGAAGTTAAGAGGGGATGTGAATCCAACATCACAGACAGTGTATGTGCATGTGACTAGTTGTGTGGTTTGTAAATGGGGTGCAAGTGTGTCTGTCAGTTTTTCTGTCCCTCTCTTTGCTTTGGATGCGGGGGTGGAAAGAGAAGCTGAGAGTATATTTATTGGGTTCTAAAGTTTGAAACATATCTTTTGATTAATATATTTTTGGGGAGAGAGTAGAAATGGCGATTATTCTTGAATCTTTATTCCTCTGTGGTATAAATAGCTAAAGATAGTTGATTATAAGCTAGAATTCATTTTCTTATGACTATAATCTAGAGGGATTACTATGCACATGTAGAATGTACAAGATGCCTTCCTGCTATGTGCAGTACATGAGAAGGTGAAATCAGTTTGGTCTAATTACTTACCTTCTTTATTCCTTAGTTTAAGAAAAATAGTTTGAGAAACTTCTTAATGAACAGGTTAGAATTTGCCTTTTGCAGACATCTAAGTATACACATCAGTGTTTATTTGGGGGACTATAGCTCTTTTAAGAAGGAGAAAGAACTGCAGTGCTTAGAGTTTGAAAGAAAATAAACATCTGGGTCAGCGTTAGAGTGGGGAGAAAGGAATAACCAACTACCTTTAGAGGCTTCAAGGCATAGAAGTTCTCTTCTCCTATGTGCATGAAAGAGAATAGGTGCATAAAAGCCATGAATAGATTGTACACAGGCTTCTTACCTGTAGCATCCCATACATGTCAGTAGACACAACCTGGATTTCTGGTTCTACCTAGTCTCTGGCATCTTTGGATAATTACTCACCTCTTTAAGCTTTAGCTTTCTCACCTTTCAGCAAGGGATGATAGTATCTGTCTTACCGCCCAGGACATTTGTGACCATTTCTAAAGCACTTCTCAAGAACATTATTGTAGGGACTGGAGGTGTAGTTTCTTTTTTTAAATTTTTCTTATTATTCATTTATTCACATGTGCATACATTGTTTGGGTCATTTCTCCCTCCTGCCTCCGCCTCCACCCTCTCCCCACTCTTCCAGGCAGAACCTGTTCTGCGCTTTTCTCCAATTCCGTTGAAGAGTAGAAATAAGCCATAATAAGAAAGACATAGCATTTTTGCTAGTTGAGTTAAGGACAGCTGTACAGAGAGATTCCTAGCATTGCTTTCATGTGCAAATGTGTTACAACCCAGGTTGATTTATCTCTTAACTAATCTTTACACTGGTTCCTGATCCCCTTCTCATGTTGACCTCTTTTGCTTTAAGGTTTCTGTATTAATTCCTCTGAAGTGGGGACATCAAATGCTTTCATGTTTTGAGTTCTCTATCTAACCCCATATGGAGGTGTAGTTTAAGTGGTAGAGCAGCTGCTTTGCAAGCACAAAGCCCTGAGTTCAAATCCTAGCTCCACCAAAAGAAAAAGTTACAAAAAAAAAGAACATTATTATATAACAGTGAATGTTATTATTTTATAGGCTTTTAATATCTTGATCTCATATTTTATTGGGGAAAGTGTGTGGAAACCAACGGTATATTCTGTTTATGATTACAAAGGATGGAAAATGTTCTGTTTTGCCTGCTGACCAAAACGAGTTAATAATTAATGTTTATAAACTGCGCTGTTCAAAATAAAGATATAAGTCAAGCAGTACTAGAAAGCTTAAAACAAAAATCCAGTAGTTTTCTTTCCCCATGGACTTTGTAGTATAAAAATGCCTTTATTCTGGTTTTAGATTATGGGTAGTTTATGCGTGTAGAATTCTAGGTTGGAAAGAATTTTGACAGTGTTGCCTCATTATCATCTGGTTCCCGTTGCTGCAATTGAAATGTAATGCCATTTTCCTTGATTTTTTTACATTAGTTTTCTAATATTTTAAATCTTTTTTCCTGTTATCTGTCTCTTTGACTTTTTGTTCTTTCTGGGATTTCTTTAATTTACCTCAATCTTTTCATCGAATTTCTATGCCATCTTTTCCTCCCTTTCTTGCTGTCTGAATTTTCCTTTTTAATAATGTGTTTTCATGATAAGAATGGAAGATCTTACCTGAGTGAAGGTACTAAATATCATTTCTTTGGTTTTCTTCTGTTAGCTGTATTGTCCCAGTTTCTACTGATCTCTTTTCTCCCATCCAAGTGTTTACCAGGCTCTACCCTGCCTAGCTTCTGAGCCACTCCTTTCTTCCTTCCTTCCTTCCTTCCTTCCTTCCTTCCTTCCTTCCTCCCTCTTTCCCTCCCTCCCTTCCTCCTTCTCTCCCTTTCTGTTTTTCAAATCTTTGGGTTTTTTGACCTTAAGAGGAAGGAAGTAAAGACATCGTTGCTCTAGCATCATAAAATGAAGTCTTCAGAACCCTTTGAACAGGAGAATGTATTCAATGAATAAAAGGATGAATATTTTTTGAGGTGAAGTTAGCCTTATTCTCCTATTTTTACCCCTTTTTGACACCTAAATGTCTCTGTATCTTTGCTCTGTGGAGTCTATGGAAATTTTTGCAGGCAGACTGTCTGGGAGCTGGCTTTTGTATTGATTAAATTGTGCCAGATTAATGGCATCTTTTCTGCTTCAGCAGTTAGTCCCAAGGTGATGGAGACAGCAGCTGCTGGCATGTGTCCTATCATCATTCTGTTCAGGCAGGAGTGTTGAAGACAAGGTATGCTTTTATCAAAGTCAAGTAAATATGACCTTGACAAAAGCATTGGAGGGCAAAGAACCCGAGACCTATTTTTGTCCACCTGTTCTTGTGCACCTTTCTCTAACCAGTGACAGTTTATGAGGAGTCTCATCTGATTGGTTAACCTGTGGAAATCTGTCACATTACAAGTGACAGGATCTAGACAGCTTGCATATTTTTCTATACCCTAAATTGCCTAGAAATTTATTATTTTATTTTAAACTGGGTGAGCTGGGCATGTGAGACATAGAGCAAGCCCCTGCTAAGTGGCTCAGTAACCAGTGTGGACTGCTGTCTTCCCTTTCTCACTTAGCATTTGAATTTCCTGTCTTTTGGGAGGAATCCCCTACTAAGTAGATGCTCCCAGGCCTGACCATCAGTTCCTCCCACCTAGAATTTGAACACTGAGGGATGATGGAGAAACATAGTTCAGTTGGAGGCTGTTTGGGGCATGAGTGCCCAGGGATGATAGGACCAGGCAGTCTGTGGCTGGTCTCCTTAAGCAGCTAATCCTGGGGCATGGCCTGAGTGAGCTCTTAACTGTCCAGACAGTGAAATTTTTTTCTGGTTTCTAAACTGGTCCTCTTGCTGTAATATATATTTTGTCAGTTCCCTGTTGTACCTCCATAAATTCCTCCCCTCTTAAATTGCCTGTGTCCTTTTCAGTTATTTGTAATAATGAACCTGAATAGTACAACCTTGTTATTCTTACCGGTTCCCTGGAGTGTGCTACTATGAGCAAGATTCTTCTCCCACAATCTGCTTGATGGGTTCTAAAAGTAAACATCCCAATACGTAGGCCTTTTTGATGATCTTTAGTGTCTGGTTTTGACTATAGAAAGCTCAGGTCCTCGTGTTCAAGTTTTAATGCTTGGTTATCTCTCTGTGAATGACATCTGTGGAATACACTAGAAGTGGAAATGAAAACACATCCATCTAGACAAAAGGAAAGCATCTACTCCCTTTTTATTTATTTTCTTCCTCCTGTTCAGCAGTGATCATGATTTCTTTATATATTTTTCTTATTTTTGTTAAAGACTTTTGTTGTGGTAGAAAAATGTAAAATTTACCATCTTGACCATTTTAAGCATATGATTCAGTAGTTTTAAAGCTTATTCATTGTTGTGAAACCCATTCCTAGAATTTTTTGTCTTGTTATTTATTTATTTTGGTGGAGGCACTTTACTCTTAAAGCCACTCCAATAGCCCCAACCTTATCTTCCAGAATTGGAACTCAATATCCATGAAATAAAAACTCCCCTTTGCCTCCTCCTCAGTCCTGGTAACTACGCTTCTTCTATTTCTATGAATCTGACAACTTTAGATATCTCACATAAGTGGAATTGTAGAGTAATTGTCCTTTTGTGACTGGCTTCATTTACTTAGCATACTCAGGGTTTATCCATGCTGTAACAAAGACAAGATTTCCTTCCTTCTTAAAGGCTGCATGGTCATATACCACATTTTGCTTAGAATTTCTTCCATAGACAGACTTTTGGGTTGCATCATTACCTTGGCTCTTGGGAACAGTGCTGTTGTGAACATGGATTTGCAAATATCCTGTTGAGACACTTTCAATTCTGGATCATATGTTAGTTCTGGTATCGATGTTTTGAGAATAGCCAAACCATCTTCCATAGCATTTTATAGTCCTATTAACAGTACATGAAAGTTCTAGCTTCTCTATATTTTCACCACCACTTACTTCTTTTATCTTTCTGCACCAACACTTGTTATTTCTTTTTTCTTTTTGTAATAGTAGCCACCCTGATGGGTGTGAAGTAATATCTGCTGTGGTTTCAGTTAGCATGATGATTAGTGATGTGAGTATCTTTTAAAATGTCTGTTAGCCATTTGTACATTATTTTGGAGAAATGTATATTCAAGTCCCCCAACTTGTTTTAGTGAAGATTCTTGATTTTTCTCTTGTTGACATTGTAGGAATTCTTTGTATGTTTTTGGAGAGTAATCCTTTGTCAAGTATCTGCTTTACAGATATTTACTCCTCTTCCATAGCTTGCTTTTTTCACTTTGTTAATTGTGTCCTTTGAACAAAAGTTTT